GGAATTGGTATGCTGCATTTCAGTCATTACAGTACCGACTCTCACTCACCTTTAGCCACTTATTACGACCCGAATGGCGGGACTGGAGCTTGTCCGCCGTATCTTTCGCTTGGTAACAATGATCTCATCGTTGCCCTCGGTTCTGGGCACTGGAATGGGGGTTCCCACTGCGGTGAAACCATGACCGTCACTTGTGCGCATGTTTCTTTCGGCCCCTTGTTAACGACAGATGAATAAAATTTCTCCTTCAGATGGCAGTAACACCGTTAATGTCGTCGTCCAAGACTTGTGCCCCGGCTGCCAAGGTGCTAACGGGATCGATCTCACACCGGGCGCAATCTCTCAGCTCGACTCCAATTATGTCAACGACGGAGTCATCACCGTCACATGGTCCCTCCCGACCTTGCCTTGAAATCCGCCATCGTCATCCATATACTTTTCTGTTCCCGTATTTGGATGGGCTCAAATTTGCTAATAGTCTCTTCAAAATGTTGCTCGGTATCTTGATTTTTTCCTGGTTGAAGTCGTCGTTTAATTCGATCTGTGTTGAAATTTGGCATGTCCAAGTAGTTGTAATAAAAAAGCCAATATAATTTTTCGCCCGTGTCAATCACATTTTTTCACACTGCATTCCTCCGTTCCAAACAAGGGGTTAACACTCAGGAATTCGTGAACCGAGAAGACTTTGAATGTGTGGTGCTTAGCCGAGATTCCAAATGATTCCAATATGCGCCGCGTTCAAGCTGTAAGGGTGTTGCCGGTCCGAAACTTCCGCATTGCAACCGCACTAAATTGCCGAACATAGCTTCAGTATTCTATTTGTTGGGCCAGCTCCTCAAGTTTTGCTCTGGATACCCGATTGCGTTCTTGGAGTCTTCTTGCGACCCGACTGGTCTTTGAGCTATCGCCGGGGAAGTGAAACTCTTGTGGCAGCCAGTATGAACCTTCTGGGACGACTAGGGACGAAGATGCTGGGCTTACGTCGTCTCTCGCAGCCAGACGCTTCAACCTCGTTTGTTGAATGAATCAGTATTCTAGACGTGTTATGACGAACCACAAAGTGATTCGCTCTTACACTCGTGACGCTACCATCAGTTCTCAACGTCGCGACCGACGCCATTGCGGATCCCGGTCCCACCCTGACCATAACTACTCCACTGCCCGCGCCGATTCGGGCTCTTCATCCTCTCTCTCCGACGCGCGGTTCCACCTCCACCTCAACGTCAAAGTCGAGCGGTAGTGCCCCACCTCTCTTTAAGTTGCACAACCCTCCCAATCTGCGTCGCTCTTGCCGGTTTCGGAAAGCGACAGCACATTTATTTTTTCAATCAATGGCCTAACCTCTTCCTGGCTTGCTATATTCCTCCCCTGTTCCAATTCCGCCGTGTGTTCGGAGGTTCTAGCTCTCTCCTTTGAGTCTTTTCGCCCCTGTGTTTTCCAACTGACGCCCTTTTTAACGCCATCGAGTAGACAAGATCCGGGAATGCACTGGACCACAGAACACATCGTTCAAAAACTCTTTCCAGCTCGTTGTCCACTTCTTCAGCCCACTTCCCCCCCCCCCCCCCCCCGGCGCAGCAACATTTGCTCCATGTCCCCATCGAGACGTCTTCGTGCGCTCTGCGAACGACAGGTTAGGTGAGGTCTCACATATCAATGTATCCCACTGCGGAATTTTATTCAACCCTCCATGACACTGCACCAAACTATTTTTCATGTCCTTTTTTGTCAACTCGACAACGTGGCAGACTCGAGCGATGGCAATGTACCCTCCCCTCCGTTCCATGCTAACCTCGCGGATCTGGCGCATAAACCCGCATTGTGGCTGGTTTCCGACAGCTCGAATTTTGCCAGGTATGTGCTTGTTCTTCCAATGTTTGCAATTTTCATTTGCTCGCTGTCTGGAATCGGCTCGTCGGAACTGCACAGAGCTTGATCAAACGGCGCGCCACCGGCTGTATCTGTTCGGCCTACATAACGACGTGAAAGAGACTCTTTTTCTTCTTTCAAATTTATCGTTTGGGTCGCTTTCCAGTCATACTCTTGTGTCGAACATTGATTCAGACCCCTCCTAGAGCCTGCGATGGATAAAGATCTCACATTTCGCCGGGCCCGAGGTTACATCGACTCCCGGCACATGTTTTGGGCTAGTTGGGCGTTCATCTTGAAGGCAATTCCCGATGACACAAGTTCAAATTATCGCCTTCACACATTTAGAACCTTGGATTCATCCCATTGCGTGTACACTTCATTGTTGCCTCTTTCGCCGAAGGCTATCTCCGGAGGGTATTTCAGATTCCTCCAAGCGTCCCTTTTGGAGGAACATTGTTCGACTGCGGTATAAAACGTAAGAACTCGGTCCTCCTTCCGCAAGCTGAACCCTCCTGCCTCAGTTGAAACATGGTCTTCAAAGTTCTCTTCACTCTCCTCCTTACTGCGTTGGCTGTCGCGGCGATGCCTCTCGAGGTAGACAGTTTTCATCCTACGCATCAGCGAAGTTGAACATTGGAGTTCGACAGGCCCGCACTTGCTCGCCGACGTATATTGTCAAGAGTGGAGACACCTGTTCTGCCATAGCGGGGAGTCATGGACTGACCGTAGCTCAGTTGCTTTCCTCCAATCCGACTGTCAATTCCGGTTGCACCAGTATGTTGCCGTTGCACCTGTTTACATCAATTTTCGTTGAGATTTTTCGTCAGATCTCCAGATCGCCCAGGTCCTTTGCCTCGGTCCTGGCGGGGGTGGCGGTGTTACATGCCCGCAGACATATATGGTCCGGAGCGGAGACGGCTGTTCCGCCATCGCGGGGCGTGTTGGACTCCCAGTAGTGTAGTTGCTCGCTCTCAATCCATCACTTAATTCTGGCTGCACAAGTATGTTGCCCTTCCACCGGTTCATATCAATTACCATCGAGCATTTTCCGTCAGATCTTCAGATCAGCTAGGTCCTCTGCGTCAGCGGTGGTAGTGGAGGTGGAAGCGGACCTTACAGCTACAGCTCCGGACAATCAAACTCAACAAATTTACCGACCACTTACCTGCACTCTGATACCCATTGGAATCGAAAAAAAAAACAGTAAGAGGAGGTCCCAGAAATATTTTGATCCAAAACTATCGAGCCGTTGCCGAGAAAATAAGACTTTTCTTTGGTCGAACCCCAAAATTTTGGCCGGATACCGAAAATAAGAGGTAAAATCATGAGAATATTTATTTGAGCTCCTTTCACCTATCTGGGCATGATCCAGTAGCAAACAACCATTTCTAACGAGCCGTTGCGTGGGAAATCCCTGATAGAGTTAGTTGTTACCGTGACATAACAGTCACACTTGAACCTGGCTTCAGCGAACATGGGTTCAAGGGAAAAATTGGAAGTCCCTTTTAGGGATGGTAAAACAGTCCTGGAGCTCATTTCATACACTATGGCTATCAGGATAGTACACTTAAGTGCTGGGTACCCTCCAGGGGCTCAAAGAGGTGCACACAATTTTGTCAACCGGCCAAAATTTTTGGCCAAACCTATTTTCTCGTGGAAAAATTCAGGAACAATCGGTTTTGAACGTATTCTGGGGCACTGAATCTGATTCTGAACTCAGCCAAGCTCAGAAAATAGTATTTGGCCTGCTAGCGAATTTGTTGACTTTGATTGTCCAGAGCTGTACAGCGGAAGGGGTATGATTTGTGTCAGTCATCACAGTTCCGACTGACTGGATGAAAATTCACTTTTAGCCACTTACTACTTCCCGAATGGCGGGTTGGGCGCTTGCCCACCGTATCTTTCGCTTGGTAACAATGATCTCATCGTCGCCCTCGGTTCTGGGCACTGGAATGGGGGCTCCCACTGCGGTGGAACCATGACCGTCACTTGTGCGCATGTTTCTTTCGGCCCCTTGTTGAAGACAGATGAATAACATTTCTCCTTCAGATGGCAGTAACACCGTTAATGTTTGTCGGAAAAATCCCAAAATGAATAAAACAGATGGAGACCTCTCACAAGACGTTATAAGCCGTTAATCCCGGACTTGGCTTGTAACACGTAGGTCAAGTTGATACATGGCTTATAAGCACTATTATGCTATTCTGGTAGCATACGACATTGAGACGGCTTCAAGGTCCCTGCAACCACCATCTCGGGAATAATAATATTAATCATCACATCGGGGAGAAATTTTGGGCGGCGCGTGGTCAAGAATGTGGAAAACGCAAATCATATTGGCTCAGAGTGCCTTTACATGTACTACTGCACACCTTGTTTTGATGACAACAGCGCTAAGCTCGCAGGTTCGCACTCTACACCAGGGACTGGCCCGAGGGGACGCCCACTTGTCTCTTCTCATTGGACTCCCCGAATACGCGCATTGTGGCCGCCCTCTAAGCTATACCTTCTTTCGTGAATTTACGGAGCCTCCCGCTACACATTTGGACCAGTGCACGGGCAGATCTCTCGCGACTCGGACTCGAGACGCTTCACAATCTCGACGAGCTCTCTATGCTCGGTTTTTCCTTCTACTCCCCACAAACCCCAGGAGCCAATAACATCCGTGTCAGGCGGCTCTACCTCCATTTCTCCGGCTTTTCTGATCACGCCATCGAGGGTCCCGGTCTCCGATGTTCCTTCCTCCTCATGTTTGACTCGCAGGCCCTGCACATCCTCGAGCTAGGCTTCCATGAGGTCAGTACCGAGTGGCTAACGGACGACATCTCCCCACCACTTGCGTTCCCCAACCTGGCCTACCTTGTAACCTTAACTCTCCGATTGTCGTACTCTGCCTCTTTTTTTTCTCTATCCATTCAAAATTCAACGTATTTCAATGTCCTCCGTCCTCCACAGTGACTCTCGTCGGGGTAGCTTTCCCAATCATATGTGCTCTCAAATTGTCTTCCGTGCCTTCGATTCAGCTCTCGCCCCCTCAGCTCACAACATTTCCCACCGCTGAATCAACAGGCCGTGAAAGTTCATCTCGCCTCCACTGAACCAAATCCAAAACCAGCGGGAACCCCACACGGCTCCGGCTTGAGTCGAACAGGCGCTAGCTCCCGCAATTAGTTGTTCGATACAACCCAGAATCATGATGTGCGGGTGCGGACCATCCACCACGAAGCCATAAGTATTGCCCAAGCGTCCTTGAGTAGTTCGAAATGGACCCCAATTATGCACTACACACTAGTTAACCGGGAGCGCTCAGAACGCCGGGAGAGTGAATAAACGGCATATCTTGGTGAGGATATAACGGCCTTCTTGTATCACAAATATAGCTGTAGTCAACTCCCGAGCATCCAGTCTCTCCTTTCTTGTCTTGATCATTTCCCAGTGCGAGGTTCGAATGGGGCAGAATCTATGCCAGTGCGGATGGGGGCGGGAACGGAAAGGCAGGCGGGAATGTAGGGAGTGAGAGCGAGTACACGGAGGGGAGTGCACGTGGGGGGGGGCGCGGAAGACGGAGGGCTGGTGCCCGGGGGAGCTCGAGATCGGCGTAGCGCAAAGAACGAGTGTGAGGGTAGGGAGAGAAAGGAGGTGAGGATGGTACAGAGCGAGGGCGAGCGGACGGAGGGGAGGCTCTGGCGAGCACCCCCAGCGCAGATAAGGTATGGAGTTGACGGAGAAGGGGGGAGGACAGGAGGGTGCGGGCGAGCAAAAGCGGAGGGCGGGGACAAGGCGGGCCGCGGCAGGTGTAGAGTGCCAGGCAGTGGATGGAGGACAAACGACGGCGCGGAGGATGGGAGTGAAGGGACGTAAGGACTTGATTGCGAATACGGGAAGCGAGGGGAGTGCGGACAGGACGCGGGGCGCGGGGAAGCAAGACATAATGAGGATGCGAGAATGGCAGGAGGGAATGGAGAGGGAGAAGGAGTGGTACACGAGCGGGTCTGGTGCGATAAGATGAGATAGGACGAGAGTCGACAGCGCGTCGTGCTCGGCGTAGTCCCCGCCCTTACTGAACCAGCAACGAGCCCTGTCCGTGTGTTCGCTGTATGCGTAAGAGCGGGAATGCGATAGCGCGCCGGGGTTGTGTGTGGATGCGCGAGGCATTGATTGCTGCCTGCATCGTACAGCTCATCCTCGAAGGTGGATGCGCTGCAGACTACACGGCGACGCCGCCAAATAACGAGGGGATAAGGTGCATCGCCGGCGATGGACGATGGATAAGCCTTCAGTCAATCCTTCAGCGAGTGGCTGCCGCATACGAGGCTACGACGCCGCGCGTACCCCGCTGCGTCGTCGTCGTCGTTGGCGGAGTGCAGGAGTCTTAGAGAGGAGTGTGCTGTCGGGTCGTCTGAGAGTCCAAGGCTTGATCTAAGGAAGGCTAGAGAAAGACTGCAGACAAGCGTCGAGGAGGCCGTGGGTACGTAAGCCAGCTGACACATCACCTATTTCTTGTCTTTCAAACCAATCGCTCTCCGGCTGTCCAGCCACGCGCTATGCCACTGGTGGGTGCTTAATATGCCACGTACAAACATCCGGGAGTCAGCTGAGCCGCGGTCGTGGGCTGAAGCGAATGAGAAAAAAGAATCGCGAAAATCGTTGATACGACTCCCCTTTCCTCTCCTCAAGGTGAGACATCCAGTGTTCACATTTATATACTTGACAGCATTTCCGTGTAAATCATGTAGCTGACCGAGCGGAATTGCAACGCGAACCAATAAGGCAGCATTGAATATCGGCATTGGGTACGTCTCGAAACCGCAACGGCAGCGTCTATTCAGTGGCAAACGCTGGTCTGTCCACAGATCCCGCGTCGTCGGTGCCGGCATGCTCTCTGACTCTGGGTCTGTCGCGGGTGTGAACTATGGGAACGGGCATTGCCGATGCCTAGATCGATATCGCCGAACACTCGTCTCGGCTGCTCTGGGTCTCCAGTAAGAAATTGAATCGGTTCTGAATCTGGGCTTTGCTTTCGTTTTTCTCTCCACCTTATGCAACCCAAACCAAGAGGCAGTCGCCCTCATCTGCCCCCGTGAGCTGCGCTAACATTACTGCCCTTCCTCTGAGGTTCTGCATTCCCGGCCGACATACCTCCTCGCCTTCCCTTCCTCTTCTCCTCATCTTGTGCCTCCTCTCTGGGTCCGGCGCTCTTCCCCTCTCTCTGGCCTCTGGTCTCTCGCGCAAGGCTCCGTGTCCTTCATAGAATGAACGCCACATTTCCGTGGCGCTGCTTGCACACCGGTTCTCGCTCTCTCGGAGGACGAGGAGGGTGTTTCTCCTCCAAGGTTCCACGGCCGATTCTGCAAGTTAACCATACCCTTCCCACCGCCACATTCCCATTGGCAGCGCCTAACCACTTCTGGTCTATTCATATCTTCGCTGTCGTGTTCTCGCCTAAATAAAAGCCCCTGTGCAACACACAAAGCTTAATACCTTTCCTCTAAACAAGTTCAAGGAGAGTCCCAAAAAAGAGCTTCAAGCATGGATTATGGCTTGGGCTCGAGTCGAGCGAGCTCCTTCTGCAGATCTTTGGTTTATCCTCGAGAAATGGTGCAGACGCGCTCCGAGTGCTACCAAGCCTTCCTCCCCCCCATTTCTGCTTGCTTATATCTGAGATTTAGCGAGCACATTTGAGAAAAAGCGACCCGAACAGAGGGCGAAGGGCCTGAGTCGAACGAGCCCTTCTGCAGAGTACCGCTGGCTGTTTTATACCGGATGCAGACGCGGTCCGAGCGCTACCAATCCTTCCTGCCCTCCTTTTCAGTCTATCATCCCTGAGCGGATTAGGGGATTTCGGGGGAGGGAAAAAAAGGACCTGGCGAAGGCATCATGGCATGGGCTCGAGTCGAGCGAGCACCTCCTGCAGAGCCGGGTCACAGAGGTGTTATGGTATGCAGACGCGCTCCGAGCGCTACCAAGCCGTTCCCACTTTTATTCCAAACCTGGCCATACCTTTGCGGATTTAGCAGGCATTTTTAAAGAGAGGATAAAAAGATGCGGGATTCCAATTTCCAGATGGCTTGGGCTCGAGTCGGACGAGGTCCTTCTGCAGAGCCGACAGGTTGGTCTCAAGATATAAATTGCAGATGCACTCCGAGCACTACCAAGCCTTCTATCCCTCTTCCGAACCTGATTATACCTGTGCGGATTTTAAAGAGAAGATAAAAAGATGAGGGATGCCAAATGGCTTGGGCTCGAGTCGAACGAGCACCTTCTGCAGAACCTGCTAGTGTTCAGTGGGAATTTTGTGCAGATGCGCTCCGAGCCCTACCAAGCCTTCCCTCCTCTATTCCGAACCTGACTATACACAGCAGTTCAGCGAGAAGAGCATACAAAGAAAATAAATGCATTGACATGGATCATGGCCCGGGCCTGAGTCGAACGAGCCCCTTCTGCAGAGCCGACTGGGCGATCCTAACATATAAATTGCAGACGGGCTCCGACCAGCCAATTCTATCTGACTGTTTGGCGGGAAAAATAAAGGAAAAGAATGCAGCTGCGCACATGGCTTGGGCTCGAGTCGAACAAGCTTTTATTGCAGAGAGAATATGTGCATCGGTGAGTTATGAGATGCGGACGGATCTGAGCACTACCAAGCCTTCCTACCCCCTTTTCAGCCTCATTATACATACGTGAACGGATTTAGCGAGAGAAAAAAACCGCGGAATTGATGGCTTGGGCCCGAGTTGAATGGGCTCTTTCTACTGAGTATGGGGCACGAAAAATAGCTGACGGAATGCAGACGCGCCCCGAGCGCTACCAGGCCTTCCCTCCTCTCTTCCGTGCGTGATCACACCTGCGTGGATTCCGGCGTTCAGGGAGGATGTATGAGGAGAGGGAAAATGTATGTATGCCGTTCCAAGAGAGAGGTTTGGGCTCGAGTCGAATAAGCTATTTCCGCAGAATTCTGCTGATGCCCTAACAGAATGCAGCTGTGCTCCGAGCGCCACCAAGCCATCCCCTCCTCCATTTAACCCTCTTTAAATCTGATCGAGTTGTGGAAATTTTGAAGAGAGTGAAAAGACTGTGAAAGGGATGCTCCCTCTTTTATCATGGCCTGGGCCCGAGTCGAACGAGCTCATCCTGCAGAATTCCAGTCATGCCATTAAATAATGGAATGCAGACGCACTCCGAGCGCTCCCAAGCCTTTCTTTCCCTATGCCAGACCGGAGTGAGGAGAGCACAAAAAGTCGAATTAGATCATGCGTGCATCAGACTTTTGACAAATAACTTGTGAGCTTGTACAAGGCCAAACAAGGCCAGAAGCCCCACCAAACGGTGGGCAAGCTGACAAGGCTACAAACCATGTTGACGATCTCACAAGGTGGCCGGTTTGACTCTGTCTAGCAGTGGCATAAAGTGGGTGCAAATTACTGTATCTCAGCCTCTCTGGGTATGCCCACTAACTTTAGGTAAAAATCCTTGGAAGCTGGATTGATCTGGAGTCAACTGAGTATATTATACTGACGGATCAGACTTGCATCCCACTGAGATTCCCATCCATCAGAATTTAACATGGTCAGAATCAGTTGTGACAGTCTTTAACCCACCACCAATGAGATATAACCAAAACCAAGGGCCAACTCATTTCAACCTGGTGGGAAGGCAACACACACTCTAGAGCCAATATGTATTTTTCTCTCTGCGTTTGAACAGCTCTGAGGGTCCGACACAGTTAGAGCTTCCTGGCCCAATGCGAGCTGGTCGATGTGTGAACCAAGTGAGATTTGGGCTTGAGAGTGATTACATGTCCTTTGGCAATAATAATATGTTACATGTGGCTAGCCCCAATTTAGAGCACTCTCGGCTTGGCTTGGATCTGACTTGCTACAAAAATTGGGAGAGCTTGGGTCCCTGGAGTGAGTAAAGGCTAATTTCCTCCAACATACACTGATGAGCACTGAATTAAGTAATGAGTTAGTGGGCTCTGCCGCACAGCGCGCTACAATTGTTATGGCACAGTGGGTGAGAAACTTCTGAAGGGGTCCTTCATTTTTTCGGCAAGTTCACCAGTCTTGTTTTGACCTTCCGAGCGGTGTTTTTTTTCCCGCTTTGACCTTGCGAGCTTGCCGGCAATCTCCGGCAAGCTCACAAGGCCAAACAAGTCACAAGTTATTTGTCAAAAGGCTGATGCCGGCCGGCAACTTCCGCCCTTTTGATTACGTGTCCGACCGCACTATCTTCCTGCTCCTTCACGCTGCCCAGCCCTCGAGTTTCCGCGCCGATGAACGACCTAGCACAAGAACTAGTCGACCACATCATCGACAGTCGTTGGATTCTCGCGGATGAGCCCCCAAAAGCTATGAAATCTTGCGGCCTCGTCTGCAAACGATGGCTACCTCGCACCAGATACCACCTCTTCTCGGCGGTGTGTCTGACCACATATAAAGCTCCTTATTTGGTCAATCTAGTGGAATCGTCCCCCCTTCCAATCCTTTCTTTCATCCGTCACTTGACATTACGATATTGGGACTACCCTCCCTCCACGACATATTTGGCCCGCCTACATCGATGCGCAAACCTCGAGCGGATTGACATCGATATCAGATCGCAGAGCTGGGTCTTTAATGCGGCCGTAGACTGGCTCGGCTCTGACGCCCTTCATGTCCACCTTCGATCTTGGAGCGCCAATTCAGGCTCGATTTTGCGGCTGACCCTAGCGTTTCACGAGCTAGGCTTGCTCCCATGGCGAACATTTGCCAAGATCATATCCTGTCTCCCATCCGTTGAAACGCTGGAGGTTAGGAACGTTGGGCTTTTGCCCGCTACAGACACCTGCCCCGCATTGTTTCACCCCCGCATCACTTGCTTGGAGCTCATCACGGGCTTCTCTGTTTCGTTCTTCAGTTCCTTCCTCTCTCTTCCCGTCCTTCCGATGTTCGAGTCTCTGAAGCTCGACATGACTCTCGCCTATGGCGTGGATTGGAGCCCAATCACGGAATATATTGAGCGCGCGGGCGAGGGACTGCAGTCCTTGGAAATCCTGTTGTGGGGCAGGTGGGGATTGGCATGTCAGTCTTCAGGCCTTCAGGTCTCAATTCTCAGAGGCAACCACTTATTTTACTCACAGGCCCCGACGTAACACCGTTCCAGCAGCGGGTCTTTGCACATACACCTATGCTCCGGCATCTGACTTTCGACGTCACTTCACTATCCCATCTGCTCCATACCCTCTCGTCTCTGCCCGCAATGACGTCCTTGACCACTCTCACCGTGGTCATTGACACGGAGAAAGTGCGCACAGACCCCGCTTGCGGCGCACTCGATGCTGCGCTGGCAGAGCCACGGTTTCACAGTCTTCAACGGTTCTCACTCAAGAGTATGTACACTCACAGGATAGAGCCACTGTCTCCGGCAACGATGTCCCTGTTGCCACTCGCCAACGCGCGCAGGATTCTGAACTGAGTTGGTGTTTGGGGTCTGTCTCGACTTCGACGCTCTTCCCTCACTGATTCTTTCTCTCTTCAGGACAACCGCCTTGAGGTTCATTCAGATGCAGTGACGTTTCCATATTCATTCGGCTCCCGATATCTTGTTGCGTGTTCCATAACAGCTCCCATCTCGCCAACCACCATGTCCGTGCATTCCTCGATCACCCAGCATCCACCTGTGCGCGGCACCGTTTATCGTTCTTCGTATTCTCTTGCTCTCAGTCTCTGAACCCGGCGCAGCCATTTCCTTTTGCCACGATAGAGCGTGGACGAATTGCGACCCCCCTGGACTATACAAACCCAGTCCGCTGACTTGTCCCCGCGTAGCCCCCGAATTAAACCATATCGGCACGGAGAACGTTTTATGTGTAGAATTGACTCAATCCTTCGATCGTCGTACTCTCTCCTTCGTTCCCCGAGTTTTCGTTCAAATCCCCGCCGTAAGTCTTTTGTTTCCTGAATCGTTCTCTGTGCTGTCGATTCACATCGTCCGGCACTAAAAAAGAAAAAAAAAAAAACTTTTTACCATTTACGACCCTACGTCCCCGGCCTGAATTGGACAGGCGCTACGTACGTACCCCGCAATCAACTGGCATGGGCACGACCTCATACCGTGCGGGCGCGGACCATCCGCCACTCGGAGCCATAAGGAGTGTACAAGCGTCCTCGAGGATATGTATCCGCTTCGAAATGGACAGTGCATAATGCATTCGAGCTGTGCATGCCACCACAAGTAATAGTATCATCCACCTCTGGGCCGCGCGGTTTGTCGTTCCTACACGTCCTCAGACCTCAACTCGCGCACTGGGCGTTTAAATTATTTCGCGAATCGTCCGCCGGGCCGTGAGATCCCCAGCTGAACCAAAACAAAAACAAAAGGCTGACCGGAAAGACCCATGGCTCTACCCTGAATCGAACAGGCGCTACCCCGCAGTCAAACTGACCTAGCCCTCCGCTGAATGATGTGCGGGTGCGGACCATCCGCCACGGAGCCATAAGTACTGCCCAAGCGACCTCGGCCACATCTATTCGAAATGGACTGCATTCCAAATGGGCACGACAAGTATCATTCACTTGCGTGCCGTTTGTCCTTCCTCGTCGTCGTCAACTCGCGCGCAGCCGTTTCTTTCTTGAAGAACGAAAATAAAAACCATACATTAACGGCATACCGTCCCACGGCCCCGCCCTGAATCGAACAGGCGCTACCCCGCAATCAAACTGAAGATCTATGATGTGCGGATGCGGACCATCCGCCACGGAGCCATAAATACTGGCCAAACGTCCTCGAGGATATGTATCTGCTTCGAAATGGGGGACTGCCACAAATCTTCAGCCAACTCCGCGCCGCGCGGTTTGTCTTCCCCGTCGTCAACTCACGCGCAGCTTCTCCTTTCTTGATTTTCTTCAATCAGATCGTCCGGCAATGAACAGTGGATTAGAACAAAAAGCTCCGAACGAGACCCATAAAAAGGGGGGGGAAATCACCATTTGCGACCCCACGGCTCCGGCCTGAATCGAACAGGCGCTACCTCGCAATTAAACTGACCTTGCCCATGCTGAATGATGTGCGGGTGCGGACCATCCGCCACGGAGCCATGAGTACTATCCAAACGTCTTCGAGGATGTATAAGGGATTCGAAATTGGGACAGTGTATTCGAGCTCTGCACGCCGCTGGCACTAGGACAAGTATCATTCACCTCCGCGCCGCACGGTTTGTCGTCGTTCCTAATAGTCGTCAGCCCACTCAGCCGTTTCCATCTCGAATCGTCCGCCGTGAGATCCCCCTGGCTGAACTAAAACCAAAAACATCGACGTCGATGATTGGGATACGGCCCCGGCCTGAATCGAACAGGCGCTACCCCGCAATCAAGCTTCCTGGAATATCTCCGAAATGATGTGCGGGTGCGGACCATCCGCCACGGAGCCATAAATACTGTCTAAGCATACTCGAGGATATGTAAGTCGTTCGAAATGGGGACTGTGCATTGATTAGCTGTGCATGCCCGTTGCCACCACAAGTATCATTCACCGGAATCGGCGCCCCGCGGTGGTTCCTCCCCGGGCCCGTCGTCAGCTCATGCGGCCGTTTCTTTCTCGAATCGTCCCGCGAGATCCCCTCCTGAACCAAAACAAAAACAAAATGCGACAGGATCGACCCACGGCCCCGCCCTGAATCGAACAGGCTACCCCACAACGACCCACACTCATGGGATACAATGATTTACGGGTGCGGACCATCCGCCACGGAACCATAAGTATTGTCCAAGCTTCCTTGAAGATAAGTAAGTGGTTCGGAATGAGGGAGTGCATGAGAAATGCTGAGACGCGAAGAACGGGGATAGATATACACGAGAGCTGTGAGCTGGGTAACATCGAACAGGGGCGAGATAAGTAGGGGCCTTGGCTTTCAATTTCGAAGGAGGACCAGTAGGCCCGCACCATGCGCGTGGGCGTCGGCGCTCGACCGCTGAGAACCACCCATGGCTCGTCGGGACGTGGGCGTATCCCCGCCTCCCACCCTCCCCGGACGCGCCTGCTCATAACGCGAAACGGCACACCATCCTAGATCGCCTCCCTCCCACTCTACTCCTCCCCCTCCCCAACCGCGCCGCCCCCACGCTCTCCGCCATCCCCGCCGCCCGCGAGCCGCCGCGCGGCCTTGAGCTCCCGATAGCGCGCGATCGCCGCCTCGCGCGCCGCGGCCATCTGCAGCTGCTGCGCCGGGCTCAGCACGGAGGACTTGGTCGTGACCGCGCCCCCCCTGCTCGTCACCGTGCCGGCCTTGCTCTGCGCCTTCGCCGCGCTGCGCGCCATGACGGACAGGTCGGGCGGCGCGAGCGCGATGTCGTTGAGGCGGCGCGGCGCCGCCGTGGACGTGCGCGCGAACTCTTTGGGGCGGTGCGCGTGCTTGTCTACGGGCTCGGGCTCGTCGTCGACGTCGGGCGCTTTGCCCTTGGACTTGGTCTTTGGGGTTGTGGCGGAGGTGGAGGACGCGGGGGCGGCGGCGGCGGCGGTGGCGGAGGGTGATTTCCCTGCGGCTTTGGCGTCGGCCGTCTTCTTGCGCTCGGCGCGGGTGGTCGCGAGAGAGGCCTGTACGGCGGAGCGTACCAGCGGGCGCATGTCCGTCTCTATCCGTCTGCAGTCATGTCAGCGGGCAGTCCAGTAGCAGCACGACCAGACACCGTCCGGATAGCAAGGAAGAGAAAAACGCACTTATTAAAATGCGCAAGCGTCTCCCCCGGCCGGATCTGCGCCTCCGCGCCCTCAAGCTTCCTCCGCTTCGCCTTCTTCGGCCCGTCCTCCCCATCGCCCCCGCCGGGCTCGTACCCCTCGCCGCGCAGCTTGCGCTTCGCGCGAAAGTCCGCGCGCACCTGCCCCGCGTTCATCGCGCGCACGAAGGACTTGGGCAGCGGCTCCGATGAGAGGGCGTCCCCGCCGCCGCCGCCACGGGCGGGCGCCAAATCCATGCCTCTGCGGGAAAGAAGCACGGGTTAGAAAGGGAAGCCTCTGGGGGGGCTGAATACGCACTTCTGGGAACGCTGCTGCTCGCGGATGGACCGTTTGGCGCGTTTGTGCGGCATGGTGAAAAGAGAGGATGGTTTGTTTGGTTCCGGGCCGACGCGTATTTGGCACCTCGGCAGCTTCGGCACGGCGTTGAGTTGAAATTTGCGCTGTATCGCCTGAGTTTATATTTACTTGCAATGCTATAAGATAAGACAAAAAAACTTTTACAAATCGAGAAAAAATATTTCATGCCACAAGGATGGCTCCGGCCTGAATCGAACAGGCACCTTCCGCAGGGTCGAAGTCCGCCGGCTCATGATGTGCGGATGCGGACCACCCGCCACGGAGCCATGTATTGGGTCGTATGGAACTCGCTGGTGTGCTAAAGAGACAAGCCCGTTGGAGGCGGAGGGATCTTGAACCAGGGATGCGCCGGAACCTCAACAAGCACGAAATGCCCCCAAAGTTGATCTAAAATGATAGGAAGAAAGAAGGTTTCATTCAGGCTCAGCTTCGCAAGGTCCGCAATGAAATAGCGGCTGCGCGCAGGCACTGAATCTTTATCGTGATCCAAATCGGGGGGAAAATTCTTCCTTCATATTTGCACTGCTCCGACCTGAATCGAACAGGCGCCCTCCGCAGTTGATGAAATTCAAATTACCACCGTCATGGTGTGCGGATGCGGACCACCCGCCACGGAGCCATGTACTATGCAGTATTGACCTAGTTGATGGGCCAACGATAAAATGATGAACGGTTGGGGCTATTCTACAGTAACACGCTCTCCGTGCCGCTACGATTTTAATTCGGGTACTACACGGGGACAAGCTAGCGGATTCAAATTTGTACGGTCTAGTGGGTCGCAATTCGCCCAGGCTATATCGTTGCAAAAGGAAAGCGCTGCGCGCTGGGTCAGACTAGGCGTACGAGAATACAAAGAACGGATGAACCGTGCGTCGCATAATTGGATACCTGGTGATCGAGGAACGTGCGGCTATGGAGGGTGGCGAGATGGAAGCTGTTATGGAACATGCAACAAGATATCGGGATCCGAATGAATATGGGAATGTCTCTCTGCATCTGAATGATCCTCGAGGTGGTTCGTTCTGAAAATAGAAAGAATCAGTGAGGGAAGAGCGTCGAGGTTGAGACAAACCTCGTCCACCAAATCAGTCTAGAATCCCGCGCGCGTTTGCCAGCGGCATTAGAGCCTTCGTCGCCGGCGATAGTGGTTCTATGGGTTCGTTGTCCTCCAGAAAAGAGAAGCGTCGCAGGCTGCGGAACCGAGGGTCCGCCAGCTCGGCATCGAGGGCGGAACAAAAGAAGTCATCAAGTAGTTCAATCGTCGACACAGTGATAGTGGTTGAGGACGCCATTGTGCGCAGAAGCGAGAGGGTATGGAGCAGATCAGATGATGAGGTGGCGTCGAAAGTCAGATGCTGGAGCATGGGTGTATGTGCAAAGATCCTCTGCTGGGACCGTGGGCTGTAATTGGAGAAATGAGTAATTGATCGCATGAATTGAGCTACAAAGACTGACGTTGCAATGCCCACCTGTTCTATACCAGGATCTCCAGGAACTGCAGCCGCCCTCCCACCCGCTCAAGATATTCCGAAATTGGGCTCCAATCTTCGCGATCCTTAAGCGATATGTCGAGTTTTAGAGCCGTGAGGGTGGGGAGCCTGGGAAGAGAGAGGAGGCAAGTAAAGAAAAGGGGGGCGTATTCGTACTCCGGTTGTAGCTCCAAGCGCGTAATGCTGATGGGAAACTATGCGGGGTGCGCGTCTGTCGCGGGCAAGAGCCGAACGTCCCAAACCTCCAGCTTTTTGATGGAGGGGAGACACGATAATATCTTGATAATTGTGCCCCATGATACGGAAATTGGCCCATAAGACGTCAGGCTCAGCCGTGAAATCGAGGCTGAATTGTCGTTCCAGGATCGGAGATGGGCATGAAGGGCGTCAGAGCCGAGCCAGTTTACAGCTTCATCAAATTCCCAGCTATCCGTATTGAAATCGATTTCAATGTGCTCGAGATTTGGGCATCGATGTAGGCGGGTCAAATGTGTTGTGTCGGGAGGGTGGTTATAATATCGCAATGTTAAGCGGCGAATGAAGGAAAGGATGGGAAGGGGAGAGGATTCCACAAGATCGACAAAATGACGAACGTTATAAGTGGTCAGAACCACCGTCGAGAAGAGGTGGTAATCTGGTGCGACGTAGCCATCGTTTGCAGACGAGGCCGCAAGATTTCATGGCTATCTTGGGTTCATCCCCGAGAATCTAACGACTGTCGATGAAGTGGTCGACCAGTTCCTGGGCTAGCTCGTTCATCAGGACGGAAACTCGGGCGGGAGCAAGCTGGAGGCAGGAAGAAAGTAATGGAGTGACACGTATCAGGTAACACATACACTGTGTTCCGTGGCCCCGGTAGGTAGGTAGGTAGGTAGGTAGCATTACACGGCACGGTCCCGCTTAGGAACGCCGGTTTGAGGAAGTATCCCGGTGTACTACAGGCTGTTTATGTACACCTTCGTCCCTCGCCTCTAAAAATCTCCCGAGCCGAGCTCGCGCACCCGGTCCCCCGTCACGCTGTAGAACCCGTTCGACTCCTAGAAACAAAAACCCAATACAAGGACACACCTCCCCTCCTCCTGAATCCACACCTTTAAATGAATATTGGAATATCTCAATCAGGTATCTCGACTTTCTCCAGGTATTATTACCCCATGTCGTCCGGACAATTGGGTGGAAAGCAACAAGCAGCCTGAGGGATCAAACATCCATGCATTGCAGGTGTAGAGAGAATCTCCGGGAAGAAGGTGTGCGTGAAATTGCACCGAGCGACCACAACTCCGACGCGGGGTCCGGCCAGCAAATAACAGAGAGATGTAATCATGCTGCTTACTAACATAGCTACAAACACGGACACACTAGTTACTCTCTCTCTCTCTTCTACCACGACTTGTACGCTAGCTACGATCTATAACACCGACTCCCTGTAAAGGGTCTAAAATCTCTCTGTGTGATTCCTTTCTCGTCTTTTCAAGCCTCTTCTCTGGTAGTCTGGTGAGCAGACTTCCATTTTTTTTGATTTTTCCGCCCTTTTTCCCCCTCCACCCCACTTCGCCTGCGACAGCCGAGCACCCGCTCAGCGCTGAACGCTCGCTACACCCCCACACCACCCCACATCTCGCCGAGGCGGCCTGAGCTTGCTCAGAGCTACCAGCCCCGCGCGCCACCCACCCACCCACACCCACATCCGTTGGAGTACGCGCGTACCTACGCTGCCCTCCTAGGATCCTTTTGGAAACCACCCCACCTCTCCCCACATCCCCTCCAAACCCTTGGAAGGCCGATTCTGACCCTCCACACCTCAGCGTCTCGCCAAAAACGCGCCACGTCACCGTGCCACGTCACCAT